ACCAATGTGACTTTTTCCCAGTTATATGTACTTAAAATTATCTAGACTCTACTAACAACCGGTGAAGGACAACATCGTGAGGAAACCTGGGCTTTTAATTTCTTATTATAAGTTTGAAATCGCCAACCCGCATTGAGTAAGCGTGGTGATTAATGCTCAAACCTTTTCCGTGCGAGAAGAGGCCTTTGGTCGGCTTATAGGCAGTTGATGATGTCGCGGAGAACCTAACGGGTAACCGGGGCTCCGGCTCGACGTGCAGGAGAAGGAACGGGGTGGTTTTTAGTCAGTAAGAGTCTGACACTCCCTCCCGCCTCACCCAGGCGGGAGCAGTCATTGGATGATTTTCTCCCCTTAAAAATAAAAGGCAGTTGATGATGACGATGATAGTGTCTTATCATACCCGCGGAAAGAAAAGCGGTGATGACAAATAGAATATACAGTCTACCATCACCACACAGCAACGAAACAGTATTTCATTAAATTTATAAACCAAATTGAGTTATTTGCTTAACAACAGCTTTAGAAAACAATTGTAATTAATAATTCGGAATCTATATTAAGTTGATGCCCAAAACCAAGTTGTTAGGACCTTCAACTTAAAGACCGGATTTCAGGAAAGTTATTAAGTGCTACCCTTAAGTTTCAGTTGAGATTTCAGATTGAAGACTCATTTAGTTTTCACAAATAGCGCTGGCTTTTGAAATTAGGGATTAATTTTCATACTTTCATCTATACTTTTTTGAGTTCACGGATAGTTTCGTCTTTTAGTTGTTTAGGGGTAGATAGTCATAGAATTTATTTGTCCTTTTCACTAGTTTTCTTTTGTTTTCCGAATACTCCTAATAATCTACATTCAGCAACATTATTTAGTATGCAGCTAAGAAAATAACGATGAACGCAGTACAGAGACAGTAGCTATTATTGTAATAAATTATATAGTTTTTAACCAAGACACATTTTCTGTAACCATTGTTCGGTTCAGTTCTCAACCAATGGTTACTGTCTGTGCCCCGAATCAATCTTTGTTTCCTTACGTGCGTTCTAAATATCTTTTTATGGGATAAGCCGGTAAACGAGCATACGGATCACCTGATGGTAAGCAATCGGCGTCACCAATGGACACCTGATTACAGAAGCGTTACAAGTGCGTTACCGGCCTGTTAAGATTAGGAATTTGAGGATTGTTGGGGATTCAGGGATTGGTGAAGAGGGAAGGAATAATTGGGCCTCCGGCTAACCTCACTTACGCGACGAAACACAACTCAAGCGTTGTTTCACGTCGGTCTTTTGTATCACTCCGGTCGAGCTAACCTATTCGTGCCGAAGCATGGCTGTCCCACACTTAAAATAAATATCAGTGGTAACTGTGACATGAAAATGGTTAAATAGCTAAAAAAGGCTCACCTTCTGTTACAAAGCAGAAAAGGTGACGGTCAAAAAGCTGGTGTTATACTGTATAACTTTAACATATACAATTAATGTACACCACTGCCAAACTTAAAAGAAATATAAAAAACATGTTACGAACAGGCTGCCTCGTTGGCCGAGTGGTCGCAAGTGCGACTGCCGGGCAAGGGGTGTCGGGTTTGATTCCCGGGTCGGGCAAAGTATTACTGGGTTTTTAAAAAATTCTCAGTAGTAGCACGGAGTCTGGAATTGTGTCCGGTATATGGCAATAGGCTCACCCCCTATTACATGGGTACTCATAACATATATATAGTGAAAAGTGGGTGTTACATTGTACAGTGGTATAATGTGCACCTCTGCCTTCGGGGATAAAAGGCGTGATGTTATGTTTGTGTATGTGTATGTTACGAACACTATAAATGAATTTCAAGTCTCAAAATACACTGAAACTTTCAACATTTCAACAACAAAACGTTTGATATTTCCTATTACGTACAAAAACGTTAAAAGGAATACATTTTTATATTTTAAATTCCATTTTCCGACGTCAGCGTTATAAAGCCGAGCAAGAAATAAGTACAAAACAAAATAACTTAACTTGTGTACAAAGCAGAAATATTACTTTTTGCTCTTCGATACTGAATTGCCTTTTAACCAACACAGCTATGCATCTATAGGGTAGAAGCAGGGTTAATGAGCAATACAAAATAGTACTAGAATCTAGAAATGGTTAAGTGGTGATGAATGAAATAAAATGGATAACTTTTATTTTTGTACAGTGAACAGGTATCGGATTGGAGCAATCTTTTTAACAGGTTTTGGCTATGTTTTAGAAGTATGTACTCGTAGTCTGAAATTGTATCTGAAGATTGGTTAAAGGTTTGCTCCATAATAGGAAAGGCACGAATTATAATTGGTTTATTCAAAAACAGGAGGAGGTACTGTGTTCGGCTGATTGTTTTTTTTTCTTCCTTTCATCGCAATTAATCATCTGCCAAGCAGAAGATGTTGGGGTAGAACAGACGGCTGGGCTGCATTTACATATTAAAGATTTCAACTTTAAATCTAGAACTGTGCACACTGAACCCACAACAAAATTGATAGACAGAAAATAGCACAATATTTTAATATGTATGTAGACCTGTATACATATTAAAATCACTTTGGAGAATAACTAGCTTACATTTATTAAGAATTATAGAAAGACTAAGTTTATTTTTTATGGAATAAGCCGGTAAACGAGCAGACGGATCACCTGATGGTAAGCAAGCGGCGTCGCTCATGGACACCTGGAACAGCAGAGGCGTTCCAAGTGCGTTACCGGCATTTTGGAGATTAAGAATTTGAGGATTGTTGAGGATTCGGAGATTGGGGAGATTGGGGAAGGGGGGCCTCCAGTAACCTCACTCGCCGTGACCGTGATATAACTCCGGTCGCGCCGAAGCATGGCTCTCCCACATTTAGAACGTAAAACACATACTACATATTAACATTAAAACACAAAACCACACTAACAAAGCTTGAAATTAAACTCAAGAATATTAACTGTAGCATCACAAAGAGACCTCTTAACCAAGGCACATGACTAACACAGATAATTGAATTAACTGTAACGTATCTTCTCGCAAATTAACGACTGAAAGCCAGCGTTGTTACTCATTGCTTATTAACGATATTGTGTCGAAAACATCGTGGTTATATAATCAAGGAATATTACTATTATTACCTAAATATCACGGTTAGTTGCTGGTAGTTTTTTATTGAGAGATTTTTTTTAAGGCGGGAAAATCATCGAATTTCTGCTCCCGCCTGGGTGCGGCGGGAGAGAGTGTCAGACTCTTACTGATTAAAAACCACCCCGTTCCTTCTCCTGCACGTCGAGCCGGAGCCCCGGTAACTCGTTAGGGTCTCCGCGACTTTACTGAGAGATAGATGAACAGATTCTGTCATTGGTTGGTCCACTGGAGCCGGCCAATCAGAGCGCTGAACGCACTCGATACTATTACATTACAGTCAAAGTCAAAGCATCTATTTCAATTAAACCATAATTTGGTACTTTTGAAACGTCAACAAATACAAAATAAATAATAGACTGTCAGTCAGTCCGTCAGTGAAGCTAGGTGAAGCTAGGTGCTCATCCAAAAATGTAGATTCGAATGGAGAAGAACGAGCAAGATAGCAATGATAGCAAGGATGTTTTACAATGTCTCTGATACATATTCCAATACTGTACGCATTTATAAGAACAGTGCAAAGACATGCTTGACGCATTATACTGATTACAAAACTTACCAAAGTAAAAAATAGTCTAACATGGTGCGATTCGCATTACGAATGCGATAGTTGTTCGTGGTTGGCGCTTTGGTTTTGGGATTGTGTCTAGTGTATGGTGTATAGGAACATTTTCTATTACATGAGCCCTATAACTTAAGTGCTAAAAAGTGGGTGTTACACACTTTGCACATGCACCTCTGCCCCTTCGGAAAGTGGTCCCATTTCGTTTCCCCGTGGATAATGCTGGTGTTAATATTGACATGGTGATTTTCTCCATTACATCAGCTTTAAAACTTACACAATTCACAACTAAGTATAGGTACTCAATTTCTACTAACACTTGGAGCTCAATAACCCCCTCCCCAATCCCGGAATCCCCAACAATCCTTAAATTCCTAATCCCCAAAAGGCCGGTAATGCATTTGTAACACCTTTTGTGTTTTGTGTTCATAGGCGGTACTGATTGCTTACCATACGCTTGTTTTTCGGCTTATCAAAAAAAAAAATGGACACCACAACTTAAAATTAAAATCCACCCTATCTAACGATTAAAAAACACAAATAAAACAAAATCTCGCCTCATTACGACCGTATACTCTGATAAATAACTCTTTATCTCAATATAATGTCGCAAGAAAGTAGTGACAATTTTAAAATTGGGAGTGTAGAGGGTAGAAATGACTTCCTCTTACCGTGCCAAATTGCGACGTTCACCGTCAAACTGTCTTTTAGGAAATAGTGGTGTGACATACATACTGAGAGGATCTTTCGTGTTATCTTTTTGTTGGTAAGAAACGGGTCGTTTTTTTTAAAGAGGATTTGAAACACTATGTTTTGTGTGTGAAACACTATGTTACAAAATATTTCAATCAATACAGATAAATAAATTTTGAGTGTATGTTTGTAATATTATAATAATAAATTTTAAGGGGGTAAATCATCGAATATCTTCTCACGCCTAGGTGAGGCGGAAGGGAGTGTCAGACTCTTACTGACTGAAAACCACCCGTTCCTAGTCATGCACTTCGAGCCGGAGCCTCGGTAACCCGTTAGGTTTTCCGCAGCTCCGTATCGGCATCAGCCCTACTGGGCCCCATCCGCGCGACGCGACGCGCCGTACGCTCGGGTCTGGTTCTGGTCGGGCAGCGAGCCACCCATGCTCGCTGTCTGCAGACCCTGAGAGAGGCTGAGGCTGCTGTGACCCTGTGACCCACAGAGGCTGGGTTGCGAGGAGACAGCGGTTCGCTGCCTATTGTTTGTCTTTCTTACACTGTTGCCTTTTAAACTAACGCAAATGCATTTTTTGTTCCAGATTAACCATGTGGTCAGCGAAGAAGTGTTCTGACAACAACGCCAGCACTCCCTCAGCGGAGGAGGAGATCAAGGTGGTGCTGGTGGGCGACACCCAGTGCGGGAAGACTTCACTCGTCCAGAGGTTCGTCTCTGACACCTTTATTGAGGTAAGTGGTCATATTTTTAACACTCCGCCGGTGTTAGCGTGATAATATGTAGTCTACATGTTGACCAGACTTGTTAGTAATATTCATGTAATATTTGAAGTAAATCCATGTAGTACTTCTGGAGATCATCCCAGACATACATACAGCCAAATAGACAAACCTACTAACTTGGGCAAAGTTTAAGTATTGCCATTCAACGTGGTAATGCTGCCAGTCTTTTGGGCCTACCTCAAGATTGCGATGAGGAAAATTTTTTTGATGCCTTTAGCTAACCTGGACCGATTTTCATAATATAAATTCGTTTTCAGAACTTCTTACGTAATGTAAACACGAACATGTAGGTACTTTTTAACTTTATATTTCCGTCTTACTGCCTCGTTGGCCGAATGGTTGCAAGTGCGACTGCCGGGCAAGGGGTCTCGAGTTCGATTCCCGGGTCGGCGAAAGAAATACTGGGTTTTTAAAAAAATCTCAGTAGTAGCACGGAGTCTGGAATTGTGCCCGGTATATAGCAATAGGCTCACCCCCTATTACATGGGACTCATAACATAAATAGTGAAAAGTGGGTGTTACATTGTACAGTGGTATAATGTGCACCTCTGCCTACCCCTACGGGGATAAAAGGCGTGATGTTATGTTATGTTTCCGTCTAAATCATATCTCTTACACCATTATTAATCAATAAACCCATACATAACACAATAATTAATTCAAAGGGTTGATGACCAACTTCGACACACACTTCACATCACCGGAGCTCCAACTGAAGTGCTCTCCCATCCACGATTGACATGTACACACGAATATTAATCAGATAATTATAATCAGGTATCTATATACTTGGAATTCCGGGAGTTAGAAGCAGTAATTACAATTAATAATCATGTTTAACGCAAATCTAGTTATTAACATGCCATTGACAGTAGTGTAATTAATGTTAAACTATTTTGACAGTTCATGTTTGAGAGATTATCTGTTTTGGATACTGAGGAAATTAAGGTGAGATACCTACAGTTTAGACTTGTATAAGTATCTCCAATATACTCTTGAGCCACTAGCCTTTTTTTATTTTATCGAACTTAACATATTAATAAAATACTTATATCAGAAATATTTAGCAAGAAATGAAAAAGAAAAAGCGATATTGGCTCCGTTTGTTTGCTCCTAAGTATAGAATTGTTGCAAATATAACAGTTAACTTCAAAACATTCAGTGCTGGTCTCTTGGGATAAGTACCAACTCACTGTGCCATAATTTTAGGCGCTCTGTCTATTATATCTGTGTTGTTAATAAAATGGTCTCGCCCGATACTTAAATAGTGCAAATGCCGCATAGAAAACACTTAACTGTCCTTTTATTTATAGGGGGGATAATCATCCAACGACTTCTCCCGCCTTATGATAGGCGAGAGGGAATATCAGGCTCTTACTTCCTAAAAACCACTCCGTTCGTACTTCTGCTCTTCGAGCCGGATCCCCGGCAATCCGTTAAATCCTACGCGGCTCCGTATCGGAATCAGCACTACTGGGCAATGTCTGTGGTGGTCTGATGGCTCTTTAAAGCATGCACGAGAATTTAAATTCTTAGCAGTTACATTGTTTAGTAGTATTGAATAAATCATATAAGCATATTAACTCGTCGAGTACCGGTTTTATAGACACAATTAAAGAACAATAGGTCGCGGTCACCGGTGACCGCTTGGTGTTTGACAGTTTAAGCCGTTGGATAAGATTAAATATGCAAATGCTCAAATATCTCGCTCCAGGAAGTAATCGTGTCTCAGTTAACCATCATAATTACATGATAACACACGACAGTCACAGATTAAATTTCACGCGCGCTAATTCCTATCATTCGACTGACAGTTTTGACTGACGGTTTGACGCTTCCCGCCAAAATTACGACGCGAAGTAAACATATTTTCAGAGTGAGAGATGGAAATGTCATGGTAACAGGGAAATTACGTTTTTTGTCTTTATTTTTCTCTCTATTTTCTTTTTTTAACGTTTGAATGATGTGTTCGTGGAGTATAGAAGTAAGGAGTGCCTCCATTCATGTATTAAGAAGTTTACGTCAATGTACGCGTGACGAGTTGCTACTATTAATGGCAAAAGATTATAAAATCCCTTTTATAAGTAGGTATTTACTTTTTTACACTTTCTAGTTGTCATTATGATATCCCAAAAAACGTTTTACTGAAAGTTCATTCACAAAAATGAAAAACAAATGCGGGAAGCTATTTTAAGTGACAAACAGAATAAGCTATGTTAACAATACAATATTGTTACATAGTTACTGTTTCCTAATAATATACCAGTGCGATGAAACCTCTCAATCGTATTTCCACATAAGATTTAAATACTCCATATCTCTATACTCTATGGTCGCAACGATGAAATGAAAGCAAATGTCAGTGGGTTGTCAATGTCAAGTGGTATTTGACATCAATAAATCTTTGCGTATTGTTTTTTCGAGTGTATTTTCGTCAATAAACTGTCAGTCAGTGGTCGGTATTTGTTTTTTGTTTTTCTCTATTTGATATTAAGTTTCGGTAAACTGTCAATGTTATTGAGTTGTGGTTTGATGTATGAAAATTGTTTATTTATAGGTTTATAGAGATTTTTTTGTATGAGCTCATTGTACATGATCTTAATATATAACACAACATCACGCCTTTTATCCCCGAAGGGGTAGACAGAGGTGCATACAAAAGTAACACCCACTTTTCACTATTTATGTTATGAGTCTCATATAATAGGGGGTGAGCCTATTGCCATATACCGGGCACATTTCCAGACTCCGTGATACTACTAAGATTTTTTTTAATAAACTCAGTAATACTTTGCCTTATCCGGGATTCGAACCCGAGACCCCTTGCCCAGCAGTCACACTTGCGACCACTCGGCTGTCGAGGCAGTCTAAATATATAATAATGAATAATTCGAATTTAAATACTTTAGACAAAACAGAATTGAAATATTTACTAGTTTTCCGCTATTTTCTGAAAAAAAAAGAAGTGATATAAGAAAAAATAAGCATATCATTGTCACACTACCTCGTTGACGAGAATACGAAAAGGAAACAGTTGTAGTTAGCATAATCCTAAAATAACATCCTGTATACTACTTATACACCCCGAAAGGGGTGTATTTAATAGTATAAGGGGTCATAAGAATAGATTGCTATAGCAGAACATCTTAATTGACTTCGGGAATAATTTGAAAGTAATAAGTATACAATATACAGCACTTATGAACAAACGACTAGTAAATAAATTAGTACATATTAAGTATTCTACATAATAGGGATGATGACAGGGTATGAAAATTAAAAATCTACAATACTTAGATAAAATGGCGTTAAGTTTAGGGAGCTGTCGTTACGTCACAACGTGCTACATTTTACAGCACGTTGTGATGTCACACGATATTTCAAATTAATATAAACATCGTCGAAAGTATTGAATTTTGTGAGAAAATAAAAAATACGTGTCTAATGTTTTAAAATAATCTACCAGACGGACATTAAAATAAAATTTAGGAAACTACCGTATTTGATAGATACCAAAAAAATATTAGGTACAAATACTCATATGATATAAGATACAACCAAAACATCACAAAGTAATGTTTACCTCGCTAATTCCTAAAACTGTGTTCAGTAATCTGTACGGACACGTAAGTAAAGTAAGGCGTGTCCCTAACTCCTAACTCCGGCTCGACACGACAGGATGTTTATCTAGGACGAATACGAACACTTGTCATCGTGTTTCTGTTTTTTTTTTTTTGTTATTTCTTGCGCTCATTTTGACGGAGGAGGTGTGTTATGTTTTTTTTTTGTTTTTGGTTGTTCTCTATGGTAATTAGAGGTTGCTATGTGTGTGGTTTGTTATGTTTATAGGTTGTTGTAATTGGTTGTGAGTCTATTTTATTTCTGTGTAGTTCGGTTTATGATAATTTGGATAATGATAACAAGACAATGGCTAAATTCTAATCAATCTGTTACAACATCGTAAGTAGGCAGTAAGAAAAAAAACCTAGAAAACTAAAATCATTTCATTTTAATTGTGGGTTAGCCATGCATCGGGGCCATAGGCCAGCTTCACCGGACTGATACAACATCCTCACGTCCTCAAACGACGTGAAACAGCGCTCGTGTTGTTCATCGTGTGAGTAAGGTTACCCGGGGCCCAATTACCCCTTCTCCAATCTCCCCAATCCCTGAACCCCCAAACAATCTTCAAATTCCTAATTCCCAAAAGGCCTTGTAACGCCTCTGGTTTTCCAGATGTCCATGCGCGACACCGATTGCTTACCATAAGGTGATCCGTCAGCTCGTTTATCAGCTTATTTCATATAAAAATAAATCAATAACCCCCAATCACCTTCTCTTCTGCGAGTCGGCACAAAGACTTAATCTTTCGACCAACCACCCTAGTAAAGGTTTCAGCTCAACCTCAACCCACCATCAATTTCTTAAAACAAACACTAAATCTCAATTATTCATTAGACCAGTGACGATCACACGACATTGATTGACACAAAAAATGGCCGCTTTACATTGCTGGCCAGACGAGAACAAATGGCAGAATAACAATGCAATCTAGCAAATTGACGCGGCATTGGAATACGTGCTATCGATTTTACGGCCTAACGTCGAGAAATTAATCTCAGAAGTGTAATGTTTGGCAAAACAATTGTTTTAAATAATGAATGGACATTAAGAATCGATAGAATGTGGGCTATATTAATTACTAACTTAAAGACTATAACTTGTTTTTTGCTTTAATTTTCCAAAATAAAATTAGACTATCTATGTATTGCGAAATCGGTCCAGCCATTCCAGAGATTAGCCAATACAAACAGATAGACAAAAATTAAAAAAAATGTAACTTTGGTATGTGTATCGTATGTATACATATGCATTTAATATTACAAACAGACGCTCCAATTTTAGTTATCTTTATAGATGTATAAATTTTCACAAATCGTAAAAAATGA